CCACTACCACTACCACTACCACTACCACTACCACTACCACTACCACTACCACTACCAGTACCATTACCATTACCATTATCATTATCATTATTATTATTATTATTATCATTATTATTATTATTATTATTATTATTATGAAAATGAAAAAACATTGAGTTATGCTGACGGAGGTGCAGTTCATTGGTATGCAAATTTCGTAATACCAGCTTCTAGTTTGCAGATTTTCAACATTGACAAGGAGGACTGGTTCTTCATATCCTCAGAAGCATGTAATGGTAACTAAATTAATTTTATATGGTAATTAATACCTTTATTAAATATCTTTAATATAAAACATTATAATTTAGGGAGATATTAAGAAATTAAATTAAGAAATCGCTCATTTTCTTCGTAGGATATCTAGCTCGTATGGGCTTGGACAAATCTGTAAGGAAAGGTAGCTGGTCCAGAGGGGAAAACTATACTAACGATATATTGGACGTAAGTAACTGAAGAGAAATAACTTTAAAATATAAATTTGCAGATAAAATGTAGCAAAACAAATTACAACTTTTTTGCAAATGCAAATTTTCTAACGTTTTTAAATGTTTACTAACACATCTGATGAAGATGAAGGAAAAATATTATATACCTACTTTAATTTATTATGCAGGATGTCCCAATATTCTGTGTACTTTGAGCTTCTGTTTTTTGAGGTCAAAAGATGATTGAAAGTTTCTTCGTTCATTCCTATTTAGGACAAAAACAAAAACTGTAGCTGTAATGCTACCTGCAAAAAATATAATATGCATATTTGCTTATGGATGGACATTTTTCTCATTTTACTTCCATTATTATTTCTAAAATTATCTATATGCAATATAATACCAAATTAAAACGGGAACAATATTTTAAATTTGTTTTTGGGAAAGCAAAATTTTTCGACCAGTTTGATGTCCTTTTAACGGCTAAATGAAGCAATTTTTGATAGAGGAGAAGGTTCTTTGATAGAGGAATAATCTATTGCTCACATGTACACTGAATATTAGAAAATAATTTATTTATGCAACAATAATTGCTGGAACTGATAACTCCTTAGAAACGTAAATTATGCATTTTCTCGCTAAATACAGTCTGTATACACACGTGGCATTCTTATTTGAGATCAAATAAAATCATTCAGTTTTCAGTGTTATAAAAGTATATATAAAAATTCACCATGTCACGATTTTTGCGATGATTCAGATGACACATAAATAACTTTCATTGATTGCATTCGATTATTATTTAAATATTTATTTATAAGCAATATTTCTGTTATGCGGCTTAGTAATAGCTACATTATTATTGGTTGTATTTGTTACATGCAAATACGATACTTATTAGCTCGAGTATAATCATGGCTTTTCTTATTAACAGCAAGGTTGAAATAAATAGTATATTAGTTTTGCACAACAAGGTGCGCTACAAATAGGATTTTTTTTAAATAGGAACAACAAAAAGTTTGTTTTAGCAAAACCGATGTATTTTATTCAAGATAGTGCCCTTCCAATTTCAATACAACCATTTCTATGGTCAGTACAGGCTTTTTGGATGGCTCTTATGTCTATAAAACGCGTTTCTTTCATCGGCAAATGCATTTCCGAAAAGGTGAAAGTCGGTCACAGGTGTCGATCGATGAGATGGTGCATTATCGTCTACAAACGCTAACATCCTTCTGCGCGACGTTCTGGCTGAATACGACAAATAGGATGCACCAAACACTTCAAAACATCAAAATAGAATTGTACACTAAAGGTTTGATCTGGTGGAACTAACTCTTTGTGGACAATGTTATTGGAATCAGGCAAATCAACATTGCCTTCACTTTTAACTTTTCCATACGAGATTTTTTGGGTATAGGCTCGTCTGGCGCCTTTGTGGATCATATTGAAAACACCATATTTCATCACCAGTCACAATGTTGTAAAGGAAGTTTTTGGTCTCCTTGAAATCCTTCGAATGTTGAAATCTGAGCAATTTTTGGTCGTCAGTTAACTTGTGTGGAATAAACCGTGCACACTGATGTTTTCGAGATGCTTAATTCTAATTTCATGAATTTCAATCAAGATTTTGGCTGATCTTTGATAAATTCATGCACAATTTTGATGGAATCTGCGATTATTACTGTTTTCGGTTGTCCAACATGTTGCTCATCATTTACGTCCTCACGACCGCTTTTAAACCGCGTATACCTACCTACTGTCACCTCAGACGCAATAACTTCGCTTCTATTCGTTCAAATGTTATAAATTTTGACAGTACATCATTGAAGGGTCTACTTTTCCGAAGCATGTAATTGCCAATAGATGGCCTTTTTAAAAGTCTTGTTTACTTTGGAACGCACGTTGTACTACAGAAATTTTGGCTACTTATAATTATAGAAATAGCTATGAATAGCATTTAACAGCTTTTAGATTCAAATTAACGATAGCAGATAACTTGATAGTAAGTAAATATAGTATTATTAGATGTTCCATTTTTACGATTACCGAAAATAAAAGAGGCATTGGGAGGTGTGGACCTTTTCTTATGCTTTGTTTTGAACTGTATTAGAAAAGTATACTTATTTTTGTGTGCTCTAACCTTTGGTAGTGTGCAAAAATGTAATATAATTTTGTTCATATATTATTCTCGTATAATGCATCCAGCGGCGTTTACAAACGCTATTGAGGAAAATATCTTCTAGCCATAAATTGATTAACCCCAGTAAATTATCTCTTTAAATATACAGAAACGTTAGGTTTCTGTCATAACAAAAACATGTTTACCAGAGGAACCTACTGGTGGTTAAAACATTTCCTTAATCGTTTATTTATTAACGCACACTCATCGACTCATCTTATTACCAATACAGACCGACGTAAATAAGCTTGCATCTGAGATATTATAGTCCACAAATGAGCACCGGACATGACAAAGGAATCATTGCAAATAGCCGATATCCTAGATTGCCGGATCTACGTCCTATTTCTTCAAGCTGCATGGGTTTTTCTCAATCTCACGCAGCTCTGCCTGGGTCAGAAATGCAAACTTATTTTGTCGGTCTGTGTGTATCTACACATGTTCGCAAGTGACCCATTTTCAAGCATTACGTCAAGAGCGCCAGCAGGACGTCGCCGGACGTACCAGCGTTCCATGAAGGGTCTACGGCAGACTACTGGCGCCGGCGACCAGATGCGTATTCATATACCTACGACCGGTTCCACACACAAGGACTCTCCGACGAACACTCACCCCGTCAACACGTCTTTTTCATTCGTCATTTTCTTAACATACTTCGTATATACTGTTTTCGATATTAATGGTGAACACTAAGTTTTCTTCATGGGAAAAGCAGTTAGGTATAACCTCAGATACTTTTCTTGCTACAAATAAATGACATTTTAGGCATTAATAAATGTTAGCTTACCATTGCTAAATATATAACATTCTCTTGTTCCACAGAATATACATAAAATGGGGTGGTCTTGTTAGCACTTACAGGGTGTCCCACGGTGACGAGACATATTTCAGAGACTACTTCAATTTTAATTCTGATATAATGGCGTCCACTTAACGCTTGCGGCTATACCGGCCGTTGACGTCATCTTCGTTATTTTAAATGGAACACCCTGTATATTATTGCAATATTGGATTCTACTTTAATTTCTAGGTGAACTTTCATAAACGTTTCCTTCTTAAAGTTAACCGTTTTTGATATTTCAAAAAGATATGTATTTTACAATAATAAAGTTAGTTGATAAAATTTATAGGGGACATAACTAAAACTCTAAACTTCCCTGCCATAAATTCAAAATGACTTAATTTCATACAAGGTGGTAGAAATTTAATGCCGAATTTAGTCAACTTTAAACCATCTTAACTTATGGAACACCCTGCAAATTTTTACGCAACCTGATGAACAATTTTGTTGTCCTTCGAATGGTATAATGATTTTCTATATCTATCTCTTCTGGTTTTTAAGGTATTTACTGTTTGCAGAGTGCAGTTATAAAAAGGCAATGGTTGTGTCATTTTTTATTTGAATAAAATTACATAAAAGAGAACGCGGCCTACAGTCAACCCCATACCACGTAGTTATCATGCATGTGGTATATTAGGTTATTATTTTCTTTTCCATGATTATTAAATAAAATTAGTTTTGATATAATTTTAGCAAAACATTCTTATTAGTCGATTTTTGTCAGTGAAGATATCCAGCCCCTTCTGCCACATTGTCTTTACTTTTGGGAATAGCTTAATGTTCTCTAAAAATTTTACAATTTCATTTTTATTCAGAATCTGGAGCAAGGCGCAGGTGGTTGGGTGGACTGGAACATGGTCCTGAATGAGGAAGGTGGCCCCACCTATATCGACAACTATGTCGATTCTCCAATTATAGTCAACGCAACCTTGCAGGAGTTTTACAAACAGCCAATGTTCTACGCTTTGGGACACTTCTCAAAGTTTGCAGTTCCCGACTCCGTTAGATTGGAAACCACTGTGAAAGACTTGGACAATGTGAGAGCAATGGCATTCTTGAGACCAGACAATTTAATAGCATTAATTATATCTAACAGGTGAGCTGCTTGAAGGTCTGCAAGCTGATATGCTCTATATACGGGATTTTGGTTTATAATTAAAAAATATTTTTATTTTGTAATGTCTGTTTCATAAAATATGTAGTTGGAATTTTAGTTAAAAAATCGAATAGTTGGTTACAACTATTTCTATAATATAAATTTGAAAAAACCGACAGAATTAAATACGTTGTTAAATTCAAGAAAAGAAAACATTTTTAAATAACATAATGTTTAACTGCTTCTGATAATGCGGTCACATGTGCCAGAAATATGTATTTATCAGATCCATGTCTTATCGTGTAGATGATGCATATACATTAGAAACCATGTTGTCAGACAAACAGAACACCATTTAGACTATTCGATATGTATTAGTTGGCTCCAGGGACGATAAATTTAAACACATCAAAGAATGGGTAACATGTGGAAATTTAATAGATATGTATGTACATCGCGCGTAAAACGTTTAGCAGTATTTTGGGGATATAATCATGTCATTTGTCATGTTTACACATCTGCGCATCATGTGTGACACATCTCCTAATAACATGCAATTAATTCAAACATTCATGTGACCGCATCATCTGGAGTCGGCTTCATAAAAATACATATTTTTTGGAATAGTATTTAGTATTAAAACTGCACCCTTCACGTAATTCACATAGAATTTTTAATAAAGAAACAAGTAAATCGATTACACCAGTTAAATTTATTATAGCTGAGCGTTTCAAGCTTGCAAGTTGCAAAGTTGTTTGGAAACTGACCTAGTAGATTAATAGAACCTTAAGATATAATAGTATTTTGGAACAAACTTTGTGTTATTCCTAATACGTTATTTAGGGACAGCTGTGAATATTAGCACTAAGTACGAAAAATATTTATAAATAAATATTTACACAGACGACTGAATGAAAATGCGGTGGACATTTAAAATTAAAAAAACGAAATTTGAAAAAATTTTGTTTGTGTTTTGATTGCGACTAAAACAGTTTTTTTTTTGATTTTATTATTTTTATTTTGACTTTTATTATATTTCAAAATACTTTCCACTGCACCTACAAAATTTCACCATTACATTTTACATTTTACATTTTTACATTTTTATTGATTCGTGTTATTACACAAAGTGTTTACACACGTCAGAAAAGAAACATTGATATTTTCAAAATTACAACACAGTTAAAAATACAGATACATACATAATCCTATAATTAATAAAAATATAAATACAGATTAAAATTGACATTGATTGTAAACAGAATAAATAAAATCAGGTAAAACAATATTAAAAACAAATACAATAGCTCACAAATGATTAAAGTCACTGTCAAAAAACTGCTCAATATCATAAAATGCATTTCTCAAAAGAAATTTTTTTATTCTATTTTTAAATTGATTAAAATTGAGATTCCTTATGTGGATTGGTAGGGCATTATAAAGACGTATTCCTATATATCCCGTACCATTTCTAGTCTTACTTAGTCTTAAATAGTTAGTAGTTAAATTATTCTTTGTTCTAATATTATGAGTGTGCAGCTGATTTCTAGTTGAAAAATTTATTAAGTTTTGTTTGACATATAGTAAGCATTGCAATATATATATACAGGGAACAGTAAGTATATTTAAAGAAATGAAATGCTGTTTACAGTCGCTCCTGTAACTCAAACTTAACATAATTCTAATGGCCCTTCTTTGATGTGCGAACACATCCCTACTAGAGGTAGCATGTCCCCACACAAGAATAGCATAGGATATATTAGAGTGTATAAAACTGTGATATGCTGTTTTCAGAGTACTCAACGATACCCTACCCACAAGATTTCGTAGTAAATACATATATTTAGACATCTTTTTACAGATATAGTTTGTATGTTGTTCCCAAAGCAACTTAGAATCTAGGTAAACTCCAAGGAATTTAACGTGATCCAGTTCTGCGCCGTTATCAAATTCTCGTAAGGTGAATATCATTGTCTCAGTCTTTGTCCTATTCAAAGAAAGTTTATTACTTGTAAACCAATTCTCCACACTTAACTGCACCTGAGGGATGTCTTCCAACAAATTATTCAAGTTTTTATTTTTTATTGATACACTAGTATCATCAGCAAAAAGTACATTTAACATATTCATATTTAAGGAGTTAGTGATGTCATTTATATATATCAAAAACAGAGTTGGTCCCAGTATAGAACCTTGAGGTACGCCATGCTTAATGTTTTTCAAACTAGATTTTATATTATTATGGATTACAAATTGCTGACGATTTGTGAGGTATGATCTCATCAACTCAAGACTATCGTGTGTGAACCCATACAAACTTAATTTGTCGATGAGAATATTATGTGCTACACAATCAAATGCCTTTGTTAAGTCCAAAAACTGAGAGCACACATATTCACCCTTTTCAAAACCCTCGTTTATATATTCAGTCAATTTGTCTATAGCTAAAGTGGTGGAACAGCTATTACGAAAGCCATATTGATGAGGATTAAATAACGAATTACTTTCAAAATAATTTACAAGTTGACATTTT